AAAAACACCTTATTATATTCAGGCCATATATATAGACACACACACACATACATACATATACATATACATATATATATATATATATATATATATATATCAAGTGGTGGCCCATATCTTGAAAAACTAAAAAGTCAAGTCACTCATGTCTCAAGACCACTCATATTTCAAGTCACCGGTTTAATTTTGTTGACAAAAAAAATCTGGTATATTAACATTGAACAGTATTGTACTGAACAGGATAAGCGGGATGAAATTGATTTGTGGATAAAATAAATGTATTACCTTGGCATATACGGCACTGTACAAAAGGCACTACTAGATTTATTTTGTTTTGTTTAAGGGTTAATAAAATCAAGATTCCGAAACTGAATTTTATACTAACTTTGTTTTACTCAAGTTGGCTTTGTGAATTTTTATTAATGCAGTAGTCCTTTTAAAATCTCTGAATCTCATCCTTAAATTGAGAACCAAATCCTAGCATTATTGTTGTCCGAGCGTCTCTATATTATGGTTTAATATTTGATCAGTGTTCTCTTTTAGTCTAATTCCCTACATAAAATGAAAATTAAGATTCCTTCTTCAAACCTCCACATTAAGGTAATGCTATTTAACCAGGTATGAGGAGAGTCAACTGCATCACTCAATCTACCAACTCCATGTGAAGTTATTAGGCGCAGACAAAAGCACGGTGATCTCAGAGCACTCCGTCAAACCCACTGAGGAACTGAGCACTTATTCCCACACATGGAAGGAGGTCAGTATCCTCTTGCCAACTCAGTCTGTTGTTCTTTTTTTCACTTCCTCATCTCATTTTCATAGCATGTCTCTGTTGACCTGTAGGTGTCACACGTGTTCTCTGGCTATGGACCCGGAGTGAGGTACATTCACTTCTTGCACAGACTGAAGAACCAATACATGATGTCTTTCTACCCTACAATGTTTACTGGCAGCTCAGTCATTGTCAAACCAATCAAAACCAGCTCATAAACACACATTTTCCTCAAAGGTTGCTCGAATGTACTCACAACCTCACATTGTGGAATGTGAATTCTTAATTTTCAACGCTGATGAATGGATACGGTTCTCTGGGACCAGACACTGGCCACCTTGGTAGGCTTCTCAGAATTTAAATAAAAGTTTATACAAAATTAATTCAATTTATGGACTCTTGTGTCAACACCGAATCAACTTGCTTTGATTCGGATTGTTTTTTTTTTTTTTTTGCATGTACAGTAATTGTTTTCAGTTCAGACATATTAAAATGTGCATTGTGTTGTCTGCTAGATATGATTGGTCCATTCCAATTTAATGAACCTTGTGGTTGAAAAACATTTTTTTTTCCCAGTTGATATTTTCTAGTACTGTCTTTTTGACTAACTAAAATGGCATTTTCTAGAATACCCAATACCATAAATGCCATAAACATGCAGAACATAATTCCCACCCCCTGCGTTGCAATACGTGTTGTCTATAACATTTATGGATTATTTATGGTGGAATTCAAGTCAATGCACCTTGTTTACCTCACAAAGTGGGGAAAACTGTTCATCGCTACTGAAGAAGATCTTGTTCCTTGGCCCATGCTGCACCCCTTTACAAAGTTTTGCAGGAATTAAGTCATTTCGGTGTAGCACTGCCTAAAACCAAACCATCCTTGGCACATGTAACATTTTTTTCAAAAGCACACTGCAAATTTAGCCTTTTTCATGCCTGTCAACTCATACGGTTTAGCCATATTTTATACGGATTTTGTGGTGAATCTTACGTATATGGCCATATCACACAAATCATACGGATTCTGAAAATTTCCTTTTTTTTTTTTTTCCCCTAACAGGTAGTTCCGTTTGCTTTTGCCCAGAATGGTGCTCGTCTACTCGAATGCTTTCATTTCCGGTAACGTTCCAGTAAATCACGTGGTTCCTAGTTGAAAACAGCAGAGTATTCATTCCATACTTCGGTAGTGTACAAACAAGTGCTAATCTACAAGGAAACACATTTATCAATGATGATTAGACAATCACCTGCCATTGTATTATGGAGATCTACAATAAATATCATTAAAAATTTCGTGGGTTTTTTTCTGCCGTTATTTTGACATATAAAATGCTTTGGTGTGTTATTAGGATTTTTTGCTCTTTATAAGGATTTTTTGGGTAGTTTATATGGCGCTCCGAAAGGTTGACAGGTATGCTTTTTGCGATGGTTGCCCTGCTGGGAGACCATTCCTGAGTCAGTGCATGAGCTTCCACTTTATGGCTGTGAAACTACAACAAAAACGCAAAAATAAATGGATAATCATTATATATTTACTAGAATGTTTGTATTTTAAGACTAATCATAAATACAACTATAATATAAGTTCTGTATACAATTAGGGCAGTTCTAAAAATACAGTTTTTCCTTACAATCGAGATTTAGTGTAGCCCACCTTTAAACCAAGGCACACAGTTTATGTTAGAATAATCTCTCTGGCCATATAGCACACCAAGAAACAAAAACGTTCGAAAACCTGAATTAAATAATGATACTCAACGCATCTGATTTTACTCACAATTGGATTTAGATGATATAACAGATCACATAACGCACCATTTTGCCGGGGCACCGTGGTTGAGAGTTGACTATACTTACATTTTTTAGCATTCACGTATCAGTTTTCATGTTTTCCCTCAGTGATCGTTCCTTTTGGAGTGTTTCAGCAAGAAATACAAACCGCCTCTGCTGACATTTGACTAGAAATCATACACGATGAACAACTGATGAAGCCTGTTCGATGTTTCTTCATCTATCTATCCATCCATCTCTCCGTGTTATTTATTTTTGGGAGTGTTGTGCGAAAGGGCTGGTTGGGCGGGGAGGGGGGGGTGCCTCCAGTTTTTCCAATTGGGACAAGTGGGGGAAAGAGAGAGAGAGAGAGAGAGAGAGAGAGAGAGAGAGAGAGAGAGCACGTGACCTGCCGCTTGGGCTCCGAGCATCACCGACGGAGAGGCCACTGGAAACTTTATTCGCCGACTTTTGCTGCGTGCGTCGAGCCGAAGATCGAGAAACCAGACGCGAGCCTGTATACTTTTTAGAAGCAATGTCACCTTTCAACGGAGCTGTGCCATAAATGACAAGGTAAGAGAGTAAGAGACTTAACGGAAGGAAACGTAGGCTGGTTTAAAGATAAGATGTACGGCGGTTCGGCGAGCAATATAATATAAAACAACAATATAAAACAATTGCCAAGCGCATATTAACCAGCAGGATCACACCTCTTAGTCGTAATTATTGACGGGCTTTTATCAGTGCTTCGTCTTACTGTTAAAATGTACCTTTTGCTTCTACTCCAGACAGTAGGCTACACATACTTGTTGCGTTTTTATGGATGAAACGTGCGACATAAATACAATTTGATTGATAAAGACAATCATTCATGTTCAGATTCACATATATGGACATTTAAAGCACTATACCCTAAAGTCTCATCAAATTGGTGTCGATGTTACTGTACATTTCGAAACTAAATTACATTTACATTCAAAAACGGCAACGAATGTACATACGACCTTTTCATGAGTCCAAAACAAATATAGTCTGTCTTTTTAAATGGAAGCACAACAAAGAACAACACATTTATTTATGTCCAGAGTTGAAACAAGCATCATAGGAACTATGCTTCATCTCAAAATTCAAATTGGGAATCTCCATCACAGCTACAGGCTTCTGGAATGTTAACCATGTCGGTCTTGTGCTGGGATGGAGAATAGACATATTAATGCAAAATTTTCAGTTCATTTTAACCAACGAATTTGTGCCACATCATTTTCATGCACGCTAGACTTTTACCAGTGGCAAAGTGTCAGCAATATGCTAACTGCACCTAACACCAAAGTTAAAAACTGCATTTATAGCAGTGAACTCTTAGGAACTCTTGGAATATGGGAGGAATCTAAAGACCCAGAGAAAATCCACACAGGCATCAGAATAACATCCAACCGCCACACAAGGAGGCAGGAGCTGAGATTTGAAACCCAAACCTCTACGAGGCAGATCAGCTAACCAAAAGTCCACCACACTGATTACCTGATTCATTGAAATGAGAGCAGTATAAAATTAAAGAAACACAAAATAATTCTCATTCAGTACGGTAATACTTTTCTGCCAGTGTCAATCCGATCTGCGGGATCCTCTTTACGTCAGAATCGACTGTACTCTAATGCTGTCATATTTGATCTCATAGGCCTGTGCACATTTACCTAATGTTGTGGCTGGTGAGAGTGTACATCATCCACCCTGATAAAACTACATCCCATGTTTGAGACAGTAAGTAGCTCGGCTTTCCAAATCAATTTTATTCTGGTTTTGTTGATGTTTTACGCAATGTCCCAATTTCATTGGAATAACGATTACCTGGCATTTTTGATGAATTTGAATCGTTAATGAAGTTTCTTAAAATCCTGAGTCACATAGCAAATTGCAGGCAATAGAAGATGGAGTATTTCGCTGGCCGCACGTCAGCGTGAATGATTCTCTCTCGTCAGAATCGTCTCGCCAGTATTGGCCAAAATCTCCTTCAATAAATTTTTAGAACTATTTAAAATAGATAAATATACAGAGCAAACTAAAACAGACAGTTCGGCATTGAACTATGGTCATTTCTGAATAGTGACCAAACATATTAAAATGAGAAAAAAAACCAACATGTACAGCGGCACTGAGGCTAAAACCTGACAAGTTGACCACTAAACGTTGCCGCTACTTAGCCTGAAATGCAACCTAGCCTTACTGCCTCTGCCTCACCCCGCCTCTACGGTAAAAGCCGAGGTACTGTAAACCAATGCTGCGGCATTGTACACGGGCAATGATACGCGTGCCATTTCAGGTGCCAGGGAACAAAAGGCTATACTATACCTCACGTTTCTCTCACATTTCCCCCCTGGATCAGTCAGTAAAATGGTGTAATTGTTCCCCCCGCCCCCCACTGAAAAGTGTTCATCCCCATGATTTAGTAAACACATTTGAAAGACTCTGCTTTACCTAATCATTAATAATTTAGTTCTCTTATGAATGATTGTACATTTCTTTCAATTGTGAAGACTCAGGCAGCATGGTGATTGACTGGTTAGCACGTCGGCCTCACAGTGCAGAGGTGCAGGGTTCAATTCTGACTTCGGCCTTCCTGTGTGGAGTTTGCATGTTATCCCTGTGCCTGCGTGGGTTTTCTCTGGGTACTCCGGTTTCCTTCCACATTCCAAAAACATGCATGGCTGGCTGATTGAACACTCCAAATCGTCCCTAAAGCGATAGTTTATTTGAAAAAAATCTCAATTAAAAACAGTGCAACATGAATCAAAGATGAATGTGATACATTTGACACACATTCCACTACTGGTAACACAAACACACATATGACAAGGATTAATGTTATAATTTCATTAATGAAATGTATTGCTCCATGCAATGCATTCTGGGAGCGATCGCAAAATAGATAAATACGGGGACGTTCAATTTAAGAGTTGGTGCGTTCCATGTTCATGGACGTCTGAGCTGGAAGCCTGAGTTGTGATGCACATGCGCAAGAGACGGAATCCGGGTCATCCGTGAGGTACACAGAAGCATTGTGGGTAATGTAGTGTCACGGCTAACCAATGTTAGCAACAGAGTCCGAAAATTCGGGCGCATTTCGCCCAAAATGCTTCGGCAAACCTCCCTTTCATGGCAGCACAGCTGCGATAAACGAAAATAAAAGCATGTTGTGGCTAATGCCTGATTTCATTTTTGAAATAGGGTCAGTCATGTCTGGATGCGAACAGTAGAACACATTAGGCTATCGTGTTATTGATGTAATGCAATGTCCTGTTTGTTATGCTAATATATTGTAGCGCCTGCTATGGATTATGGAGGATTAGTCAGCAAATGTTTATTAACCAACGAAACACAGTTTTTGCGTGTCCGTGGTTGATATCGAACAGACGGTCCCTCACAGTCACTCGCGACCACGCACAGAGTGTTGCGTTTATGAACTCAGACATAGCACTACTCCAAGTAACACAATATGATATAGTTGCCACAAGCCCTCAATGGCGACACAACAATTAAACGCATAAACCACATTTTCATTACAATAGATGAATTTATAGTGCTAAGAAAAATGTGTTCCTCCCAACCTTTTTTTTTCTTTCGGGTGCATACCACATTTTTATTGTGTGGATCAAATTATGCATACGAGTGAAGCAAAACAAAGCTATTTTGATCATTGTTGAATGAAAAGAAAATGAAAATCGATTGCAAGTGCTTATTTTTGTTTTCTTTAGCACAGTGCAATTTTCGAATTTTTCTCATCTAGATAATTGATGGATGGATGGATGATTTCACCATCTTCTACATAAAAAAAGCTACTTGGTGCCCAAGAAGAGCGATACAGTATATGTTTTATTTTTTTTTGTAAGTAAGTATTTCTTTTTGTATTCATCGATAGATTCATAGTATTAGTGCAACTCTGCATAGTGTAGTTTTTGATTCCCTTTTAAAATGCACTAAATATCTACAGCTAAAAAAATGTCAGACCAAAGTATCGCCTTCAATTCACATTAAGTTGCTCCATCATTTGGAAACAAGCGGCAAAGTTGAATAAAAGTTGATGTTTGTGAAAAGCTGCGTGCATGTAAATTGGGCTTTCATTAAAAAAAAAAAAAAAGGGATCAAAAGTTGGACAGAATGAACTACTGTATGTCAGTAGCCACATAAAAGTAGTCTGTGCTTTGGTAGTGAGTTTTGTTTTCCTTTTCCTCACTAATCTGTTTCATGTTAAGGTCTGCTGACTGCCGCTGCACCTTCTGTTAATATTTTGTTGTTCAAAACTAGTCTGATGCCTGCAGTTCCGGTCAAAGCGGTGAATGATAAAGGGCACTAGTGCACAAACTGATTGACTTTTTTGTGTCGCTCGGAAGGAAATATGTTACCTTGAACTGGGTAATAAGTATTCACAACTGTGCACGTCTTAAAAATTGTCCACCTAAAGATAAGTGATCATATATCGGAGTTTGTCTTGAAAGTATGTCAAGTTTTGGGTAGACATCATCCTGTATCCAGAGATACTATATGTCAGTTATGCGGATAGAGTTGCTGTTGAGTTGTCTGATTTTTCTTTTTTACTATCAGCAAGATAACAAAAAAAAAAAAAAACCATCACCAACAACCAATGAAATGCTCATTACTTTTACTCAAAGTCATTCAAAAGAATTTATTCACATGCTTACGCTGAATGATCCTTTTAAACAGCACTGTTCTCCACCTAAAGTGGAGAGATGTGGATACTTCTAAGGTGACATGGTTGCCGATGTTCAGACAGAGTATCTCATTTAATAGAAACCTTAGGAGCTGCTGTCTCCTGGCTGTCAGTAGCTTGTCAAAAAGCCCTTTCTGTCCACATCATGTCCGGCCTCATTAAGCCTCTCTCATTCTGTCTGCCTCCTGTCCTTTGGAGTTAGCCTGTCTGAGTCACGCACAAAGACATCTGGGGGGGTTGTTGGAGGCGATAGGAGTCTTTAATGTTTCGACTGGAACGGAGGACATGAAAGACAAAAAACAAATGAATTGTTTACTTGGAGTCAACCTGTAAAGGTTGTTCAACTACCTAATCCTTCAACCATTTCTGCTCTTCCACAGTGCATTATTAAATGGTAAGCCTAAAATCCCCTCTGCGCATTAAATGTGTATAACGCAGTATATGAAAGAATAATGGCTCATTTCTGAGTGCATTTTGAATCAGTTTTTTCCCGTACCGAAATAATAAAAACAGAAATAATTATTTTTGCTATAACTAAAACTTTATTTTGCTATAACTAAAACTTTATTTTCAAGTAACATTCAACAGTATCAAGCATAATCCAAATGTAAAAGTAAGTATCACCACTGTTAACAATAAGCCATAAAATCAATATGAAAATACAGTATATCTTCACTTTTTAAATGACTTGTCACTCAAGTGTAAAAAGAAGTGAACCTTCATGAGATGCGAAAATGTCAATACACTCAAACACTCAGAAGAATTTTCTGTTTTAATTGGCCTCTGGAAATGTATATACTCAATGACAGAGAGGTTTGTTATGGTCATTGTGTTGTATCTAGGGACGCCACCTTCATTCATCCATCCATCCATCCATCCATTTTCAACACTGCTTATGGAGCCTATTACGGCTGACTTCAGGCGGTAGGCAGACTACACCCTGAACTGGTTGCCAGTTAGTCACAAGGCACATATAGAGATAAACAACCATTCCCACCCAGATCCACACCTTCACTGAGTGGTCACCGATCCCACGCTGCCCACTCACAAGTCAAGCGAGTGTCCCACTACGCCAACAGCGACACCACAGCACCTTCATTTTAAAAGATAATTTCAAACAATACAGTATTACAATTTATTGTCAATTGACTGTGGCGTTTGAATTCAAATAAAAGTGACTCTACTGGAGAAATGCAACAAAATGAAAAGAATTGGGGGTTGAACTGAAAAGGTACCTCGTTCCCAAGGAGAAAACATGGACACACGCAACTATGTTGACCTAGCACATGGTGGTCTACTGCATGTAGCTAAATTCTAATAGCTGGAAAAGGTCCCTTCTCCATACAACGTAAGGTCATTCATTATCATCTGCCGGTAACGTATTTCTATACAACACAGGTGTCAAAGTCAAGGCCCGGGGGCCAGATCTGGCCCGCCACATCATTTTATGCGGACCGCGAAAGCAAATCAAGCATGTCAAGTTCCATGATGCTTGCTAAAGTCTGAACCAAAATTTCAAATTGTCATATGTAATCCACAATAATAGTCATTATTCTTGACTTCTGATTTTAAAACTAGTTATTCATCAATTTGTTGTGTGCTGTGTATGTAAGATGTGGAGGGGATGAAACATTTATATGGTTTCCCAAAATCCATAATGGCCCTCCAAGGCAAACCGTATCTACAATGTGGCCCGCGACAAAAATGAGTTTGACACCCCTGCTATACAGTATACTATATAGAATACAGTAAGTCTCCATACTTTATTTCAACTGGGCAGTCTGATTGGTTGCTGCTTAGGTTGCTTAAGGTGCTGAATTGCGGCACTGAGGAAATACATAAAATAATGGATGGATGTATTATCCCTTCCAAATGCGAAATATCACATTAAATGCACTGTTGGGATGTGAATGAGGAATTTGTCTAAATGGAGTGCAAGTCAGTCAGCAAAAGGTACTGTGTGTCACTTTAATGAGGAACTACACTGTGCGGCATTGTGCCTGCCAATGCTGTAAATTAAGCCTTGTGATTAAGCGGGCTTGCGCTGCTGTCCAGACTGATGGCACTTTTGACGTAGTGGACACACTACGCGTGGATTACGTAGCTTTTTCCTTCTTAAAAAACACGGATAGTGGTAATTTATATGCTGAGGGTAATTAATACACTCAGCGAAAGACAGCGGATGGAAAGCCAATTCCTTATGTCGATTGAAGGGCTTTTCACTTCAAATATGGATTTGATTTAATAACTTTCACCAGCATACAGTATGACACCTTCAATTCTCCTCAATTCATTCTCTCTGAATTTACACAGACTACTTGGGTCATAAAAAAAAACAAAAAACAAAACACAAACATAAATAATTTATTTTGATTCATACATTATGATAGTAGTTCCTTTTTATGTCTTTTAAGGCTTGTTATAACAACACGACTGCAAAGAGACAAGTGGGTCGTCCATATGGTTCCTGTCGTGTCAGTTGTAATTGGATGTGCAAATCCTCCTGGTAGACCACGTTCTCATGTTCAGTCGTGTATCCATTGACCAACATAATGAATCACTTTGTGTGGGGAAACTTCAAACTTGCTAAACATTTGCAGTGATTGTGCTTCAAGGAAAATATGATAGATGCAGCCAGGTAACTCTTTAACAAAACTTGGTTAACAATGTGCTTTGTGCTAGGATGACAACGTGGGGGCGGGACACATTCGTTAGCCTAACAGCATTGACAAGAATGCGATTCACCCAGAGTTGAGACACAAGTTCTGCACCTGCGGTGAATATCATGAAAGTATTTTTGCAAGTTTCATCCATCTGTTGATCTCGAGTACTTTTTTTTTTAAACACACAACTGCCACTGATTTCCATTTGTGATTTTGAATGAATTAACACAGAAAATACCCATCATTTCATATTACTAATTGCTTGCATTTGAATTTAATGTTTCTTTACAATATTACCGTCCGCGTAGAGTAGTGGTTCTTAACCTGGGTTCAATTGAACCCTTGAGGTTCGGTGAATCGGTCTCAGGGGTTCGACAAAGCCTCTGCCATGGAGGTTAAGACACACCCGACTCAACATGTCAATTAGACACGTTAGACACGCTCACTTGGCTATCACTGGCTGCAGAGGATCACATTAGATTCAGTGCTACGGGAAATTTAGTTCGCTCAGTCGTCAACGTGTGACTGTCGTGACAGTATCCATCCATCCATTTTCCATCCATTTTACGATCCGCTTTATCCTCACAAGGGTAGCTGGAGCCTATCCCAGCCGTTTTCAGGAAGTAGGCAGGGGACACCCTGAACCGGTTGCCAGCCAATCGCAGGGCACACAGAGACGAACAACCATCCACACTCACACTTACACCTAGGGAAAATTTGGAGTGTTCAATCAGCCTGCCATGCATGTTTTTGGAATGTGGGAGGAAATCGGAGTACCCGGAGAAAACCCACGCAGGCCTGGGGAGAACATGCAAACTCCACACAGGAAGGCCGGAGCCGGGATCAAACCCACGACCTCTGCACTGTGAGCTCGATGCGCTAACCACTGGGCCACCGGGCCACCCTGTCGTTGTAAAATAAAAAATAAAAAAAAATTATACTTATGTTTTGAAATTCTGTTTTTAATAAATGCGTTTTTTTATGTCTTGAATTTGTAAAAAGTCTTTTTTTTTCACTAATGAAGGGTTCGGTGCATGTGCATAGGAACTGGTTGGGTTTGGTACCTCTAACAAGCTTAAGAACCACTGGCGTAGAGTAAGAACTTACTATTTTCCAAGTTACCTTTTAGTCCTCGGTTAATTGTAATTCTTCATGCAGTTGAGGGGGAGGGTGCAAAAAATTAAAGTTGTTATTGCTTGACATGAAAAAAATACCCTGCTGTATTTTGGTGAATGCATAAATCAATTATACATTCAGCTCTTGCAGTCGCGGCTCTCCTCATAAATGGCTCACAATTCAAATCATTTCCCGTTAAAGAACCGCAAGGGTTTCCATTCAGCTGTGTGTACATAAGACCTATCCTTTTATCAAGAAGGGTAACCTTCCCTACTTTTTGGCCTGTGTCTTGTTTTGGAGCATTTATAAATAACAACTCCTGGTGTAAGGTGGTCCTTAGTCTGAGGTCGTGGTAACCATAGCAGTGCTTGGAAAGTGAAATGCGATGCAGCAGCTCTGCGGGCTGCGTTTCTGAATCACAACTGTATAATGATCAGGCAGGGCTCAGGCTACATCAGAGATGCAGCACCCAAGTATCTGTTTCAAGTCGCAATGCACAATGCAGTAGCTTTGCCAATGGGCGGTCGTAGGAGCAGCCCGTTATTCTCACCTCCTGAGAATTAACTGCTTTTATTCTTTAAGTGACGCCTGTGCTTGGAAATCCATAACGCCTAATTTGGAAATGTATGCTTGAATTGTTTTCTTGATCGAGAATAATGATGGACTTCAATTGAAAACTGTTGCTTAGTCAGCAGCTTTTAGACTTAGAACACCCATAAATAAATTATGCTTGCGCACACAAGGTCCACACACACTCACGCTGTTTACCAGGTGTGAAGGAGACCGTAGTTAGGGTTGGTGTCAGTTGTAATGACGTGGACGGCGGCTGGCCATAACATTTGCATTACCGTTATTTTAGACATACTGCATATTCATTCAGTTTATTTAACTTTTCTTTAAAAACCGTGGTACGGAGACTATGAAGCTTCATAGAAAAAAAAAAAAGCATTGTTGCATGTTAATTGACCTTTGTCATTCTTCACTGATATCGGTGATCGTTGCCAAAGAAAGACAATCGCAAGGGTTAACATTCTGGTTTTAGTTTCTCACAGGTTCATAGGTAGTCAAGATGACTCCGACAGATCAGTTTACTTTTCACTAATCCCAAACCCTTAGTTTTTGTCACGCTGGTTAAAAAAAAAAAATGTTGTGCATTTCAAGTACCAACCCCTGGTAAAAATGCTGGATTTTTTTTGTTTTTGTTTAGTTTTTTTAGCAAGTATAGGGGAAAAATAATGGAATTGCTAATTTCTGAGGAAAAAAAATGGAATCACAACAGTGCATCACTAGTACTTTGTTTCAATACCTCTGGATTTTTTAACACGATGACAAACACTCATATTAACCCTTTCATGCACCCTGTAACCTGATAACATGATAAACGGTCCACTGTAGTAGCCGCTGTCCTTGAAAGGGTTAATCAACCTGGCTCAGTTTTCCTGATTTTTTCTGATTGTTGTTACCAGCTCAGCGTTACAGGTCATTGTCATTGATCTGTTTTTTTTTAATTTCCTCCAAAATTTTTCAATTGGATTGAGTTCCAGATTTGCAGGACCTGAAATTGACATTTGTAAATCACTTTTCCATTAGTCTCGTTCGGGCACAGATGTTGACTCCAAGATCCGCCCATTTGGAATTATTTTGTTGTGTAATTTTTTTTTTTTTTTTTCAACACATATTGCTTTAAGATTTGCATCTTGACAGCTTTTGGTGCAACAGCTCTCCAAGGGGTGGGCACTCTTATTCATTCAACTGCTGTCTAATTATCAGATTCAATCCAATTCAGTTATTTGCTTTGGAACTGAAAATGACAAGCTCATTCCCTCATTTTTTTTTCACCACAAGTTCAGTATTTTTTTCCTTTACTTGCTCTAAAACAAATGCATGCTTTTTATTTTTTTTGTGTTCTTAAAGATGGAAAAATTATGGGTGGATGTTCAAACACACCAGAGACCCACATATTGAAGACTAACATTGAAAAGTAAACTTTCCCTAGTCTGTCGGTCCAAATTTAACCCTTTCATGCACCCTGTAACCTGATAACATGGTAAACTGCCCATTATAGTAACCGCTGTCCCTGAAACGGTTAATACTTAGTTGCATGGTTGCACTGCACTCACGATAAAATATTGAGGAAGCTGAACTCATTTATATTTGGGGACTGCTTTGCTGCGTCGGGCAGAGGGTGTCTTTAGTATTTTGCAGGGTGCAATGAACTCTCAAGACTGTCCATTGTCTGAAAGCTTGGTCTCAGCCACAGGTCCTGGGTAGAATGACTAAAAACACACAGCTAAAAAATACCCAAGAATAACTACGAGCAAGCTTTTAATGATAAAGAAGAGCCCCGATCCAGCCCCGGTTCTAAATTATATTGAACATTTGCGAACGGAGCTGAAAGATTCGACCAGGTCTTTCGAACCTGAGACAGACGCTTCGCTCACAAGGACAGATTCAAAATAGCAGTTATTATCATATTGGAATTTTTTTTTTTTTTTTTGACAGTTATGTCAGCAGTCAATGTAGGTTTCTCTTTCTGGAATAGGGTATCTGTGAATAGGATGAGCAAGTTGATTTTGCAATGCATTGATATATTTTATACTGACACTTTAAGGTAGACTAAAATCTGATAAAAACAGGATTGTTTTTATCCTCCATTCTCGAAAGGTTTGGCTCCAGTTCAGCATTTTTCATATGATAAAAATGTTTTATCTTCACAAATTTTTGATTGTATTTTTTTTCTCAGATTTACTTGTTTCTTTCTGGTTTTCCAGCAAAGTCTTCTGACCCAGCGACTCCTCAGTGACCCGTTTGAGATATGGGACCAATACCCTTCCGCATTTCGACAGTCCCCGTTCACCTTCTCCTGGTTCTTCTCCTTTCCAATCCTTCCACCTCCTTCAGGCCGCCGGTTGTTGAACGATCACCAGGCCCTCATCAGCCCCAGCCCTCGAACGTCACAGGAGCGGACAAGAGGACTTGTTCCGGCAATGTAGTGTGTAAACCTGGCATACTGTTGCCAGTGTGGTTGCCACTCAACCCTCCTCAAGGGGAGAGGGCAGGGAGAGCCGTCATCTACTTCCTCTGCCTCATGTACATTTTCCTGGGAGTGTCCATCATTGCGGACCGCTTTATGGCATCGATCGAAGTCATTACCTCGCAGGTATGGCTCACTTTGAAGAATCATCTTTTTTTTTTTTTTTTTTTTTTTAAATCTTACACTTGAATTCATACTTAACCCTTTCAGGCACCAATAATGGTAACCTATAACCTGATAAGCTGTCCACTGTAGTAACCGCTGTCCCTGAAAGGGTTAATGTATATTCACAAAATGGTTCTTTTAATTCATCACAATGGTAAACAGCACACAGTATTTTAATACAAAAAATGATTCTAAACATAGATAAAATGTTTTACACTTAGTAGCTACGGATGCATGATTTCACGCATTTTCATGTGGCATAGGGTGCTATTACGCCATCATTGCTTGACATCTAAGAGAATGATAACAAGACTTTGGCATCTTTCAAACACCTGTTTATAGGTGAAGGAGATAACCATCACCAAACCCGATGGAGAGACAACAGTAACCACAGTACGAATCTGGAATGAGACTGTCTCCAACCTTACACTCATGGCTCTGGGCTCTTCTGCTCCCGAAATCTTGCTTTCTGTCATTGAGGTAACCAACATATTTTTAAGAAAAAACAAAAAAATCATGATGTGAGAAAAAAAAACATCATTTTAGAAACGCTTCAACAAAGTGAAAATTTGGCTTTCCTTTTGGTACATAGGAGGAGAGCCCAATTACCACTTTCAACAACTCAAAATGAGTTAGTGATCCTAAATGTTTTGGTTCTTCATGATAAATACTGTTGCATCGTTTCCCCACTTTATTAAGATCATTATGAACATAATCAAATTTATTCTAATTAATCTTGGAGGGGTTTTTTGTTACATTTTTTTCTTTTGTTTTTAACTTAACAGGTGTGCGGGCATAACTTTGATGCGGGGGAGCTTGGCCCAGGCACCATTGTTGGAAGCGCTGCCTTCAATATGTTTGTGATTATCGGCATATGTGTGTGGGTGATCCCTGACGGAGAGTCTCGCAAGATCAAACACCTGCGAGTGTTTTTTATTACCTCTTTCTGGAGTATCTTCGCCTACATTTGGCTCTATCTCATACTAGCCGTCATATCTCCTGGGATCGTAGAGGTGCGTTTCTACACTCTGTTTGGTGGCATTTTGTTAAGTATGCAAATCATTAAAAAGGACACCGTCTGCATTCCTAGGTGTGGGAAGCCACGGTGACCCTGCTTTACTTTCCGGTGTGTGTGTTATTGGCTTGGATCGCTGACCGGCGCTTGCTCTTCTACAAATACCTTTCCAAACGTTACCGTGCTGACAAAAGGCATGGTATTGTGGTGGAAATGGAAGGTGACATTACACCCAAAGACCATGATATTATCATGGACGGAAAGGACTCAGATGGCATTTCCTGCCCTAGAAACTCCTCAAGTGTGACAGTGTCTGTACAAACATCGAGTGAGATGGACCAGAACCAAGATGAGGTAAGGAAAACATTTACCTTGCCATTGTAAGACGTTTGGTCAAAGGACAGAAGGTTGAAGTGCTGTCGGGTTTTTTTTTCCACTTAGCTGAGATTTACACCAAAGTGTCCAATTACAGATCCAGTTTTAATGCCTGTATCTATTTTTTTGACTGTCTATTTAAATATACTATCCTGTGACAATTATCAAAAATCTCCGTTTACGCAGATGCTCAAATTGCACGTTTTAACTTTGTGCAGTGACCACACCAAAGAAAACAATAATAAATTCATTCATTCATTTTCCGATCCGCTTATCCTCACAAGGGTCACGGGGGGTGCTGGAGCCTATCCCAGCTGTCTTCGGGCAGTAGGCGGGGGACACCCTGAACTGGTTGCCAGCCAATCGCAGGGCACCCAGAGACGAACAACCATCCGCGCTCATAATCACACCTAGGGACAATTTTGAGTGTTCAATCAGCCTGCCATGCATGTTTTTGGAATGTGGGAGGAAACTGGAGTACCCAGAGAAAACCCACGCAGGCCCAGGGAGAACATGCAAACTCCACACAGGGAGGCCGGAGCTGGAATTGAACCCGGTACCTCTGCACTGCGAAGTCAACGTGCTAACCACTCGAACACCGGGCCGCCTCCCAATAATAAATTGATATTTAAAATAGAACTTATTCTGCACTGTTTTGGAACGCTTGCAGTGCTTGTCCATCGAATTTCACGAGTGTGGAGGAGATATCGGGAAACAGGCTAGTACACCCACCCAGAGAGATGGAGGGCAACGCGCAGTAGTCACTTCAAAGTGTTCCCATTGTTGTTTCCTGGATCTAATAATAAAAATAATAATAATAGTGCGGGCCCGGTGGTCGACTGATTAGCGCATCGGCCTCACAGTGCAGAGGTGGAGAGTTTGATTCCGGCTCCAGCCTTTCTGCGTGGAGTTTGATGGCTACCTAGTTTTTAAATCAGAAGTCAAGAATAATGACTCGTTTCAACCTTGTTTACATGAATGTAATAAGGAGTTTGGAGATGAGACAATGCTTGCAATATCTCCACATTATTCTGGATTCTATATGATAATTTGAAATTTTGGTTCAGACTTTAGCAAGCATCCTCGAAGTTGACATGCTTGATTTGCTTTCGCGGGCCATATAAAATGATGTGGTGGGCCAGATCTCGCCCCCCGGGCCTTGACTTTGACACCTCTGCTCTAAACTGTCCTTAGGTGTGATTGTGAGCACGAATGGCGAATGGATGTCTCTGTGTGCCCTCTGATTGGCTAGCAACCAGTTCAGGGTGTATCCCGCCTACTGCTGGGATAGGCTCCAGCACGCCCGCGACCCTCGTGAGTTTAAGCGGATTAGAGAATGGATGAATGAATGGATGTATGAATGGATGGATCTAGTTGATTGATAGTTCATTGGTAATGTTGATTATAAACTATATCATTTCCTTTCATTGATAGGTGGTCCGTAAGCTAAAAGACCTCAGGGATAAACACCCAGAGAAAAACCTAGACCAGCTTATCGAAATGGCCAACTACTCCACTTTGGTTCATCGGAAGAAGAGTCGAGCGTTTTACCGTGTCCAGGCAACTCGCTTGTTGATAGGTGCTGGAAACCTACTAAGGAAACATGCTGCTGAATACTCACGCCGCACAGGTGCGGCAGGTCAAGGGGATGACAAACGTATCTGCTCTCACATTTGTTTTGAAAGTGCCCAGTATCTGTGCACGGAGAACTGTGGTACTTTGAGCCTCTGGGTGATCCTTGATGGGGGCACAGCCCAGAACACCTTTTATGTGGACTACCGTACGGAAAACGGTTCTGCCAACGCTGGGGCTGATTATGAATTTAACGAAGGAACCCTGATATTTAAGCCAGGAGAAACACGGAAAGAGATCAAGGTGAGCAGAGAGAAATACACGTCAGTGTTTTAATAGTCAGCCCACTGGAGAGTTTTTCTTTTTTTTTTTTTTTTGTGTACAAAAGAGATTACAAATTTGTGTGTGCAATAAGATCACATGTGCCAAAAATGAGTATCTTTCTTAGATGTTGCAATATGTTTTCACTTTCCTCATTTGAGTTCGCTGTGACAGGAGCCTGATGGTTTTGTAAAACAACTTGGCACACCTACCGTATCATAAATGGTTTGAGTCTGGTTGGCTGCATTGTGATCGTTCACAGCCAAACACAGGTCGACGAAATGAACCAAAGAATGTTTTGTATCATTAAAAAAAAATTATATTTCATTCCTCAGGTGAACATTTTGGATGATGACATCTTTGAAGAGGACGAACATTTCTTTGTCCGTCTTCAAAATCTGAGGTTAGAGGAGGGTGGTGGTGAAGGGACAGGATGTTCACCAAAGGGCAGACTAGTGGAGCCGCTGGTTGCTACTGTCACTATCTTGGATGATGACCATGCTGGCATCTTCACCTTTGGTCAGGGGGTTTTGCGGGTGAGTGAGAGCACAGGCACACTGACGGTGACAGTGGTGAGGAACTCAGGCTCCAGGGGTACCGTTTCTGTACCATATCATACAGAGGACGGCAGTGCCAAAGCTGGAGTGGACTACGAGCAGGCCATGGGTGAGCTGGAATTTACCAATGAACAGACCAGGTGAGGTAAAGACAGTAACTCGAGGCAATGGCTGGAAGGAAATGAAGAGTGTGTGTGATGTTTTTTTTTTTTTTTTTGTCTCCAACTGATGTTGGCTCACCAGCTCAGTTCGGATTTATCACAAATGTATTGGATGGGGTTGAAGGTCAGGGTCTTTGCAAGCCAATCAAGTTCTTCCACACTGAAAATCAACCACCATGTCTTGAGAGTCCTTGTTTGATAACAGAAAACAGATAGACCCTAACTGTTTTTTCAAATTTGGAAGCACGAAGTTGTCCAAAATGCCTTGCGTGAATTTGTTAAGAATTAGGAAAGAACTTTGGAATCCCGGACAGTTCCTGATTGATTGAATTAATGGAAAAGAGTTGTGTCTCAAGACGTTTGTTCATACAGTGCGCTTCATCATTGTCACCATAATCTTTCGGCCAATTCAGAATGTTTGTAAACAATAGACCCCAAATCAGAATAAATCCAGCAACTGTGCTATTAATCAGAGCAACAGAAAAGCTCAAGCGATCATAGTTTTTGATAATTAAAAAAAAAAAAAAAAAAATAGACCATCTACCATACCCAAAAAGAGGAGTGCATCAAAAAGCGTTTGTCAGCAAAAGAACCACCGGTAGGCAAGGCTCATTTACAAATTGTGATAGTATGCTCATTTTTGACTTAGGCCAGGGGTGTCAAACTCATTTCACATTGTGGGCCACATACGGACTCGGTAGATGTCAAGTGGGCCGAACCATTAACATTATACCATACTGTGCTATGAATCACCAAAGTATCATCTCTTTCCTTTGTTTTGGTCTGAAGAAGCATTGATTGGCGCTTTCATAACATTTGCTGCGTTGGGTCTACCTCGGTGACAGACTGAGACTGCTGTTTTCTTCCCCGATCAAAACAATGTTGTCTTCGACTGTGATCAAAACAGTGTGTCCCCTAGCGGATAATTCACAAATTGCATTTTATTTAAAATATTAATTCTGTGTCTTTAATGCATTTTTTTTTCACTTTTAAATTATCCCACGGGCTGGATCGAACCTCCTTGGGGGCCGGTTCCGGCCCGCGGGCCGTATGTTTGACACCACTGCCTTAGGCTATATATCTATGATGACAAAGGTTAAGACCCTTCATTTATTTCAATCTCCTTAATTAACCCTTTCATGCACAAATAATAACCAACATCAGAAGTGTTTTTATTTGTATTTAGGCATGAAAAAAAAAATAATGGCAGTGGATGGCAACGCACATAAGGGTCCATTGTAGTGGTTGATGCACAACTGTGACATTAAGAGTAATTAATAGAGGAGAAAACAACACTTGAATAGCTGTCCACTCTTGTCACCGCTGTCCCTTTTGGATTATTTTAACTGCTCGATAATATGTTTCATTCTCTGTGGAGTTTGTTTTTTTTAATGTTTCTTTATGTTGCGAGTACGAAAGCAATCACGTTTTCAACTGGGTCCCAGAGTGTGGCTCACACTGGTGTAGGGTTGGTTGTGAATGTTTAATGGCGGATTGGACGGGCTGACAGCCACGCGTCCGTCAAGCTGCCCCAGGGCAGCTGTGGCTATAGAACATAGTTTCCCACCACCAAAGCATGAACGTGTGAGAGCATGACTAATGTATCCACTGTAGAACAGTGTTAGATGTATAAGAAAGCACCATATAAAACTGATGCATTATTATGATTATTATTATTGATTTCAAAATGCTGCCCTCGCGTTTCCTTGTGTACAACACATCTTTTCTGAATTGCTGATATGGTCATTCCACTTTTCTTGTGACGGTGCACAAACACTGCATGCATTTACAAAAAAAAAAAAAAATCTAAATATAGTTTACCATTTTAAATGTTCTTTACCTGAATCTGAAGTTCTACCTTGTCGTCAGTCTACATAAAAGTTTATTTTCTTGCTCCCTTTGGATTCCCCGCCTTTGTTGTATGTTCATATTGCTCGGGCTTCTTATTCTCTGTTCGTAAATGATTTCCTATGGCAGCATTACTACACTTCCTTTTGAAGCAGTTTACCCTAATTTTAGTTTTGTTTTTTTTTTTGACTGACACTTAATACATTCAAACTATACTGATAGATAGAGAAGAAGGCTAGCCAATCAGAGACACATTAATTTGTGAATATGTGACTCTCTGCACTGCCACGCAAGTGGAAAAGCTTTCATTTACCCAATTTTCTAAATCACTCTGCCTTGGTCAAATCACTTGTTGACTTGTATTGCTGTCAGAGAATTCTTTGGCTTTTGCCACCCGGAAGAACGTACAATATGGTTTTGACATTATGTTGTTCTGAGCAGCGCTACATAAAAATGACACTATTATGAAGAAAATGTGACATAATTGAAATATCTGGTATGTGTGCATGTGCATATTTTGAAAAAAAAAAAAGGCTCACCAGGTGAGGCAGTGGCGCTTCGTCTGATCAAGGCTCATACGTTTATTTTGTACGCAATTGTGAAAAAAATGTCATCATGCATTTTCAATTGTTTGACGCTCCGTATTTTACTTTACCCCTTATCACTTTCAACAAGGGGAAATGTAGCCTTCCTCAGTGACAATGACTCTCCATTACCTCAGTATTTGATGGGTATCAAGTTGTGAGGTAATCCTGTAATGCTGCCCGCAGTGTGGGAATCTGCAATTACGACGTTTAAACGGACTATTTTCCTATTAAATTTGCAGGTTATGTAAACTGCTTTTGCATGCAGACTAATTAGGACTTTGGGCCTTTTGTGGAGTATGCAGTTATGTCACCGGCCAATCAATGAACTATATCAGCAACTTGAAATGCATAGTGACTAATAGCCTGACGAGTTTGATTTTTGGCTGGCAAAATGATGCAGTATTAATTCGTATCTTCACATACTGCAGCTTTCCGCCCATCTGAAATGAATTTATGGTCCATTGGGGATGTATATTTTGGTCAGGTCTGGCAGTGAGTTAAATGGAGAAATGTAAATGTTTTATTTGTTTAGCGATTGTACAAGCATGTCACACTGCACTTGGTTTCCCATTCATAATTTGTGGGACTAAAGTCTTTTTTTTTGTTGTTTTTTGTGTGTCTTGTATGCCTCCAGCCAAACCTTAAAAGTTCACATTATAAATGTGGAGGAGTATGAAAAACAGGAAAACTTCTTTATTGTGCTCAAAGAGCCGAAATGGCTAAAGCGAGGACACTCCGGTAAGTAAACTATTTCAAATAACAAATGTGTGTTGTTTATATGATTACACGAACCCGCTTAACTTTCTGTTAAAGCATTTGGGAGTTTTTTTTTCTTTTTTGTGTGTGTGAAAATAATGTCTTGCGGGTTATTTAATGCCTGCACTCAATAGAGATAAAATCGTATGAAAATTTCACTTTATAATTTTCAGTATTGTCATGCTACAGTATTACGAAATGATTTTGCAACACATTTTTTACAATGAAAATATTAAATCAGGAACCTTCTGCACGAATCTGACATATACTTTAAACCGCAACACAGAAAATGATTTTTCGTAAATGCAAGACGACATGCAGACACACATTACCACAGACAGTTATTTAATTGATAGTGGAAAGCTTACAGCATTTAAAAAGATGAAATGAATTGTTAGCCTTCAATATTTGTCGTAAGATATAATAATGCATACTTTTTCAATTCAAATATATTTGATGGCCGACTGGGTAGCGCATCGGCCTCACAGTGCAGCGCTTCAGGGTTCGATTCCAGCTCCAGCCTTCCTGTGTGGAGTTTGCATGTTCTCCCCATGCCTGCTTGTGTTTTATCCGCGTACTCCATTTTTCTCCCACATTCCAAAAAAATGCATGGCAGGCCGATTGAACACTCCAAATTGTCCCTCGGTGTGAGTGTGAGCATGGATGGTTGTTTGTCTGTGTGCCCTGCGATTGGCTGGCAACCGGTTCAGGATGTCCCCCGCCTACTGCCCGAAGACGGCTGGGATAGGCGCCAGCACCCCCCGCGACCCTTGTGAGGATAAAGTGGATCGAAAAATTAATGAATGAATGAATTAATTCCAAAAACAGACACAGTCGGTCAATTGAATGCTTATATCGTCCGCAGAGGTGAATGATTGTTTGTCTGAACCCTGCAATTGGCTCGCGACCAATTCAGGCACCTCTTGCCCTTAGGTCGCTAAAATAGACTCGAGCACACCTGCGATCCTAGTGAGGATAAGCGGTACAGAGAATGGATTGATGCATATATAGTATTTGACAAATAGTTACATTGTATACATGAACATCAACAAGAAAATTCCATCTAAAATTATTTTCCAACAATTTTTTTACAACAAGCATATTACGATAATTTGTGCAATGAATGGATTATTTTTTCACTGACAATATTCAGAAAGCTCAAACTTATTCATTCACGTTAGCTTTTTACAGTACCGTGTAGGAAATCTTGCAACTGTTACTATAATTAGCAGCTATTTATTAAAAAAATATAATAAAATTACAAAAAAAAGTACGAACAACAACTCTAGCCAGTCTAACCATTACCTCTCTGATACAGTGGCCATTGGTAACACGTAATGTTGCCATCCTAACATGGGAATGGGACTACGTTGATTGAATCATGATGTGTGTTTTTACAGCATTACTGCTAAATCAGGGTAAGACACAGTTTGTTGGTTGGGTTGAGGGGTGCGGTGTTGAGCATTTCAAACACCTTTGTTTGTGTTTTCTGTGAACATATATGGATGATGGTATTCCTATTTTACATGCAGCAAAATGGATTAGCTAATCCAAAGGCCACACATTTTGATATGGATCCTGCATGGATCCATATTAGGGATATTTGGTACTTGTTGGCCAAAGAAGCTGAGGTCGAATGTCTAAGCAATGCGTTTGAATACCTAGTTTTAATTCCCTGAGATTCATAAATAAAGATCAAATTATTTAGCAAAAGCTAATGCTGAAAATGCTGTCAGATAATGCTTTGTTTACTTTTTCGGATTTATGGTGTGGGGGCAGGAACAGCTCTGGGCTAAATGGGGTCTGAAAAAATAATTTTACAATATCAAATAAAATGCTGGAGAGGCTTAACTTGGGCTAGATAGATTTACTTATTTTGACGAATTTCTTTAGGCGCGTGTGTGTATGTGTGTGTGGCGCTGCATATGGTAATGGAGGCAATTGGCACCGCGGCAGTAAAGGAATTTCGGTTTCATCCTTGACAGGTCACCCCACCCCTGAGGAGGAAGAGGCTCGGCGGATCTCTGGGATGGGCAAGCCCATTCTAGGAGAGCATAGCACGATAGAGATCATCATAGAAGAGTCCTGTCAGTTTAAGGTGTGTGGGTGGTTGAATACTATATGTACTGTATACTATAATAATATATCCTTCTAGACACACAGACAAATGGCCAACCTGGATGTGTTGTATATTTAATACAAGCTTCACTGCTAAGGATAACTGCCACTTTACAGCACAAGAGAATAACTTGAAACAAACAACACAGTCAGGAAAGTTATATTGCCATATTTTCTGCACTATAAGGCACGTTGGATTAGAAGGCGCACTTTCAATGAATGGCCTATTTTAAAACCGTTTTCATGTATAGGGCGCACTGGATTATAAGGCGCATAGAATAGAAGCTACTATAGTGGCTGCGGTTGCGCTATGCATCCACCTGATGGACCTACGCTAAAGGGAATATTATATGATACAATACAGCTCTATTTATATAAAGCCTTCAAAACCGCCGCAGCCATGAGAACTGGTCACAAACACGGACATAAAACAAATAAATACAAATGGGATTACGAAACAATAAATGAAAGACAAAAGTTATGAAGACAGTTGATTCAACAAAGAGGCGTACAAACCTTGTGGGCTCACATCCACAAGGGGCTACATATCCTAAGAAGTTTTGCTTGTCTCCTTCTTCCTTTGTTTAGTTAGTATGCTTTTGGTATTATCTTCGTTTCATAATGGCTGCGTAGAGCTCACAAAGTACAGTAGTTGTCTGTTTGAGTGTGTGTTGGCGAATGCACGTGTCAATTAGTGTCCGGCAGAAACCTTTTAGTTTACAATTGGTTCCTGCTAATAATCACCACTAGATGGCATAGGAACACTAACAGGGAAACAACTCAATGGGGAATATAAAGAGAGTTGTGGTCTCTTTATATTAGGCGCATCGGATTATCGGGTGGACTGTCGGCTTTTGTGAAAATTGAATGCTTTTATGTGCGCCTTATAGAGCGGAAAACAGGTAAATAAAACATTTGCAAAACATGTTACATTAGCACAGTTTATTTGTTTTGACATGTATTTTTGTAGTTTAATATGATGGGATGGATGTTTATACATCCCAGTATGTGTAATTGTAGAGCAGGCGAAGGCTGCTGTAAAATTTTTTCAGACCAAAGTACTTCACCCTGCAACAAAGGTGGGACACAAAATTCTATCTGTCAGTTATTCATCTGAAAGTCCCCTTCATCAATTCTAACAAAGACTCGACCAATGATTAACTGCAAGTCTAAACATAATCAAGTTGGTGTGATTTGATTCACTAACAATGTGGCACCTTTTCACACATCAGACTCCCAATGGCGTGATTGACCAGGTACAATTTCAGTGTTGTTGTGTCTTGTTTCTTATCGCACACATTTGGATATGCAGAAAATACTGTATATCCATTCATGCCTTTTCTTATTAATGCATGAGATGGATCTGAAGTTGCACTCAGACTAACCCAGGGGTGTCAGGAACAGGATATATGCTGTACTGGTCAGTCCATGTTTGGCTACATGTGTTTAGGAACACGATAAAGTACAAGTCCTATTGGTATTGTGGCTAATTAGTTAACTCGCAAACAAGCAAAGGGCATCTCAATTCAATTGTGATCATTTATCGTGTTTTTTTTTTTTTTTTTTTTTTTTTTTTTGGAAGGGGTCGCTTTTGACCCATAGATTAAACCAAAAGCCATTTGAATAGATTGAAACTTTATGACACGGTGAGATCCTGTTGGGCCACTTTTGTCCTGTGGGTCTTATGTTCGACACCCCTGAACCCTTTTTTTTTACATTGTCTCTGTGTGCCAAGCATCTTCTGTTTTGCCTTATCTTTAAAAACTGCACAGAACGGGAAACACTATTTAGAGACAAAGTATCATGAGTACCAAATAAATGTCACATCATCGTGGCGCAGCAAATCCCAAACCCTCATTCAGACAGCATTGGTAGCGATGACCTATCTACATTATGCATGACGTTTGACTCATTGTTACAGACAAGAGTGTTGCATAATCTCTGTGTAAAAGAGGCGGATGTCTTTGTGTCTCATAATTAGTTTCTAAATTTATGTAACAGTAAATCATTGTTGTTGCCATACAGAATTATCAATCTATTTTTTTTTTCGGTTCTGAAACAAATACAGATTTTAATTAAAAAAAAGAAAAGGATGTAATGTCGAACAATCATTATCTTCATCCTAATGTGGCGTATTTCATCTGGCAGACTACTGTGGATAAACTCCTGAAGGATACAAACATGGTGGCTGTGATTGGCTCGCGTTCATGGAAGGAGCAGTTCATTGAAGCTGTCACAGTCAGTGCAGGTCAGTGGCTATCAGTGCAATGTCCATCCATCCATCCATCCATCCATCCATCCATCCATCCATCCATCCATCCATCCATTATTTCTTTTTCACTAAACTTGGGGTCAGGTCGCGGGGGCAGCAGCTGAAGCAGAGAAACCTAGACGTCCCTCTCCCCAAACACATTGTCCAACTTTTCTGGGGGTGGGGGGGGGGTGCTTTGGCACTCCCAGACCAAGCGTGAAACTCGCTCGTCAAAGCCTTGTCCCAGTGGGGCGTGCCTGCAACGCCTCACCAGGGGTGTGTTAGTTGCGGCATCCTAACATGATGCTCAAGCCACCTCATCTGGTTCCGCTCAATGCGTTGGAGTAGCAGCTGAACTTTGAGCTTCTCCTGGATGACTGAACTTCTGCCCTTATCTCGAGTGCTGCATTTACATCGGATGCAAAATGAACTGCCGCCTCACGTGCATCGAGCGAGTTTGATCGCGGGTGTTCATTTGTGCATTCATTCGCCAGAATTGGCATTACAGCAGGAGTGTCAAACTCATTTTTGTCATGGGCCACATTATAATGACCATTTCCCATGGAGGGCTGTGATCAATGAAACTGTATAACGAAGTCGAGAAGAACGTTTTATTCAATTATTAAGTAAATGTAATGAGGGGTTTGGTAACAAGAAAATGCTTACAATACCGGTATGTCACTGATTTATTACATACGAAAATTTGAAATTTTGGTACTGATTTTAGCAATCCTCGGAGAAGTTGACATGTTTTGATATGCTTTCGTGGGCCACGTAAAATGATGTGGTGGGCCAGATCTTGGATCGTTTTCTGTTTTCCATTCAATTTTAGGTTAAAGTTTTGAGTTTGACAAATGTGTTCTGAGGATACACTGTAGGCTGATACGTACCAGTTTGTGTCATGCTTACTCGGGCATACAACCCCATAAGAACCTGCCCTTCATGTTGAAAAGCTGCCCGCTTCTCGAATTGTCTTGCATAGGATGCTGACATGCATTTCTTTCCCTCTTTTTTAATTTTTTTTTTAACAGGTGATATTGATGATGAGAGCCAAGATCAGCCAATGCCGAACTGCTTTGACTATTTCATGCACATTTTGTGCATTTTTTGGAAGATCCTTTTTGCATGCATCCCGCCAACTGAGTACTGGAATGGGTGGGCCTGTTTTATAGTGTCAATATCTGTCATCGGTATCTTAACAGCCATTATTGGAGACCTCGCGTCCCATTTCGGCTGCACAGTTGGCCTGAGAGACACTGTCACTGCAGTGGTATTTGTAGCCCTAGGGACTTCGCTTCCTGGTAAATATGGCATCTATATATTTTCAGCATTACATTGAATGTTCAGTGGATGTAATCCTGAGTTTTTTTTAAATCCACAGATACATTTGCCAGCAAGGTGGCTGCCACCCAGGACCAATATGCAGATGCATCAGTGGGAAATGTAACCGGAAGCAATGCGGTGAACGTGTTCTTAGGTATCGGTGTAGCCTGGTCTGTGGCTGCTATTTATTGGGAAGTCAAAGGGAAAGTTTTTCGTGTCGACGTTGGCTCACTGGCCTTTTCGGTCACACTCTTTACCATTTTTGCCTTCCTCACAATGGGAGTGTTGATGATCCGCCGAAGGCCCTCAATTGGTGGTGAACTGGGAGGCCCTCGGATTCCCAAAATCCTGACATCACTGATTCTCTTTGGACTTTGGTTCCTTTACATTCTCTTCTCAAGTTTGGAGGCCTACTGCCATATAAAAGGCTTCTGAGAAGGCATTGTTGGGAACACTAATTGCACAAAGATATACAGTATTCCTTTGGAAAGAACTCTTTACTAATTAATTTTGAGAAGACCCATCATCACTTCCGGCATGGTATAAAAAAAAAAAAAAAAAAAAAAAAAAAAAAAAAAAAAAAAAAAAACGAAACATGTGGCCTGGTCTGTGGCTGCTATTTATTGGGAAGTCAAAGGGAAAGTTTTTCGTGTCGACGTTGGCTCACTGGCCTTTTCGGTCACACTCTTTACCATTTTTGCCTTCCTCACAATGGGAGTGTTGATGATCCGCCGAAGGCCCTCAATTGGTGGTGAACTGGGAGGCCCTCGGATTCCCAAAATCCTGACATCACTGATTCTCTTTGGACTTTGGTTCCTTTACATTCTCTTCTCAAGTTTGGAGGCCTACTGCCATATAAAAGGCTTCTGAGAAGGCATTGTTGGGAACACTAATTGCACAAAGATATACAGTATTCCTTTGGAAAGAACTCTTTACTAATTAATTTTGAGAAGACCCATCATCACTTCCGGCATGGTATAAAAAAAAAAAAAAACAAAAAACAAAAAAAAAAAACAAAACTTGAACATGACAAGAATTCAGTGTATTAGTACTGAGCATACAGTGTTAATCAAACAAAGAAGAAATGGTTCATGTTTTTTTGTGAAAATGAATTTTATGCTGGCTTGATGCTGTATAACTCATGAACTGTATTAGAAGTTCATTTTCCCCCCTTATTGGGGTTCTTCAATGAAATAGCTCGCTCTTGAATGAAATGGCTTACATTTATTTTTTTTTATTATTTTAAAATAATGGATTGTACCACCACTCTGCTTTTCAACTTGCTTGATTTTATTTTGTCCTCACACCTCTGTATTTGATTGTTCTCATTAACAACAATGAAATTATAGATTTACCCTGTTCACGTGTAAAACAGACTGTCAAAAATTACCGATCTGTACAATTGGATTGATATTCTTGTCATAAACTACAGTTTAGAAGATGAACTGTTGACATGGGGTATGTGTTTCTCTAAGCAGCACTGGCCGTTGTTTGCTTCACCAAATGAATCCACTGTGACAACAAAGCAATGCATACATGTTGACAAGACTTGACATTATTTCTATTTTAAGCTACACAATGACAAATGTATATTTCAATGGTCAGTCAGTTTGAATGTTCTAAATTAATTTTGAAAAAAATCATCTGTTTTTTGGGGACCTGGGGGATTGTAATTGTATGTACTGTATCTGTAAATTATTGTAAATGTTCTAAATAGACGACTACAATATAATTTATTTATGTTAGAATTATAATTGTAATTGTGACGTGTGTTTTTCTATCCACTGAGTCCAGCAGAAGGCTAACTGCAGGATGTAGCACCGTGTCACGTTCCAAATATAATGGCCTTATTTATTTATTTTTATCTAATGCTGGCATCCATCCATCCATTTTCTGAGTTGCTTATCCTCACAAGGGTCGCACGGGGCGCGCTGGAGATATCCCAGCTGTCTTCGGGCAGTTAGCGGGATACATCTGAACTGGTTGCCAGCCAATCGCAGGGCGCACATAGACAAACAACCATCTGTGCTCACACTAACACCGAGAGACAATATAATTACTACTACTGTACAGTATTTAAATATCCATCCATAATCTGAACCCGTTTATCCTCACGAGTCCCAGTGAAAAAATAAAACCTTTTGAAAATTACAAGGAGAATATCAACATAATCCTACAAAAATAAAACAGTATTCAAAACTTTTTGTCTGTTATATTTGACGTAAACTGGTCATCAAGAGGGAGAGATGAGAAAAAAATCATTTTGGGAGAACCTTAAGAAGTATTTGGTAAACACCTTTACAATAGCTCAGTTACATTTTGTCCTGGGGCAGCTATAATTTACACAACAAGGGACTGTTTCTGAATTTTGTGAATGGATTATTAATAATTTCGTGTAAGTGTCTAACTCCACTTCCTGAATGATGCACATACCACATACAAAGTACTGTACAAGTGCACAGTAAAAAAACTTTTGTACAACGTTGTACTGTGTACTGTCTTGTAATATATTGTTTGTGCAATTGTAATTAATGAAATAGAGTAGTTTGAACATAATTATTTTTCCTCATTTTCGAAACATTGTGTTGCGACAACGTTTGGTTTCGTCGGAACGCTTGGAAGACGAAGTTCCTTTGTCCCATTGGTCTTGAATGCAACATTAATCTGGCACAAGGGGCACGACAACATGGCTGCCGCTGCGGGCCGCTTCTACGGAGAAGGAGGCAGAGCAACAAAACGACAGAAAACCGAAGACGGAGGGATGACAACGGTTAGGCGGGCAGTCTTGTAGCAATATTTAATTGTCAATGAAATTATTTTGTATTAAAACTTGTCTTTAGACGTCTCCATGGCGTTGCCGAGACATCATTGCGCTTCAGTAGTCACGAAGCTAGCCGCTATCAGCAAACACAATTGTGACCATACGCTAGTTAGCATTGTCAAATTAGTCTGTCTCCTAAGCAAAGTAATTAATTTCGTAGTCCAGTCGTCAAAATTAAAGCATTGTTAAAACTCAAATTCTAAATCAACAATTTGCTTGATTGTTTTTAACGTCTATGTCAACTGTCAAAAAATTGCTTATGTTGAATGCTAACCTCACCATTTTCCATTCAAGCGGCCCCATTTGGGCCTAGTTTTGCACTTTGTCTGTTTGTGGAGGTGGGCTTTATTTCCCCACATTGTTTTGTACATCGTTTACGAGCCGCCCACCGTCACTGAGTTGAAATTATTTTCAGGAGAGCTACGATGATCCTCATAAACCTTTACCCTCCCCGGTGGTGCACATCAGAGGCTTGGTTGATGGCATTGTGGAAACTGACTTGGTGGAAGCATTGCAAGAGTTTGGGACCGTCAGGTATTCATCCACTGGGAAATATGTTGCAATTTTTCTTTTTGTACATTTCTACTTCACCTATGAAGCACAGTTTTCCCCACGTTTTTGACGGAAACCATTTTGAAAATCATGTTGGTTTGAAATTAAAGAATTTATCACTTTATTAATTTCACATAACTATTGCAGATCTGATATTCGTTTCTCACTGGGTTTAGCTAAGCATAAAATATGGTCTGTCAATTGATTATTTTGAGCCTAGGAAAAACTTTGACCTTATAATAATGCCAAACAAAGATGAGTGGGTAAATAATCATAAATCAGTTAGTTGCAACATTCCTAAACATCAGTCCCGCCTATTTAATTGAAAATTCATGCAGTGTGATGGTGTTCCATCCCCAATCCCACAATTCTTCATCAGAGCAATTTAGGGTATAGTGAATAATCTTATCCACTATAAGACACTCACTTCAATTCACTTCACACTGACACTTACTAAGCTGAAGTGTGACAAAAATGCCACTTTAAATATAGACAAAATAAGTGCAGAATACATGCTCCTCATATAATTTTATTTCATAATGCTGGTATAAAATATCCACCAAATAACCACATACTGTGAGTTTTTCTTTTTTTTCCCCTCCAGTACAAAGGGCTGTCAAAGTACAGTACTTCTTCATAGCAAATCGTTAAGTGCAAGAACTCATGTTGTGCACTTAAAATTAACATTCAAAATGTTAATCTTATTGAAGTGTTATGTTTTTCCTGATTATCATTTCCAATCAGTGCAAAATTATTTGGCCTACTCGCATAATACCCAGTCTAAGTGCAACTTAGCCTTGTGCGCCATCGAGTAGTGATTGGTGGTACCTCAACTTAAAAGTACAGTCAACCCTTCCATATTCGGGTTCGGCACCCATGGTTTCGCAGATTCTCTGATTTTTTTTTTTTTTCTTCTTCTTTTTTTCCCCCATCCCGCCCTTGTCAATGGTAGAAAACACAGTGAATATCCCTCAGTATTTTTGAAAAATAATTTAGGTTTGCAAAAAAAAAAACATATGTACATATAATATCAATTTTTTTACTTGGTCAAATGGACCGCGGGCTGCCAATTGCCCAACTCTACTGTAGGCCATGATAAGTTTAACGCATATTTATTTCACTGTAGCTACATCATCTAGGTCTTCTGGGTAGTACTTTGAACAAATGAAAAGCTGACCAGAACAATACAATACACCCTGATTTATATACAATAAAAATGGAAATAGATTTTCTTTTTCTTTTTTTAGTGGCAGAGGGAAATGTCATTTGGATTAATTTTCGAACTAACAAATGCTTTTGCAAGATTTAAACTTGGTGAAGGTAAGGTTTTGACTGAGAGGAATTCACAATGTTGGTTGTACCTCCCTTCCATAGTTCTGTGGTGATGATGCCCAAGAAGCGCCAGGCCTTGGTGGAGTTTGAGGACATGAATGGATCCTGCAATGCTGTTACATATGCAGCTGAGAACCAGGTTTACATTGCAGGCCACCCTGCCTTCATCAACTATTCCACGAGCCAAAAGATCTCCCGGCCAGGAGACTCAGACGACACACGAAGTGTGAACAATGTCTTGCTGCTCACCATCATAAACCCCATCTACCCCATCACCACGGTAATCCACACTTGAAACCAGTGTTGTGTGGGAGGTTGTATGTGTTGAAATGTGGTTTGCAGAGACAAAATGTAAAATACACATAAATAGAGGCGTCTGGTAATTTCTCTCTCTCTCTCCCTCTCTCTCTCTCTCTCTCTCTCTCTCTCTCTCTCTCTCTCTCTCTCTCTCTCTCTCTCTCTCTCTCTCTCTCTCTCTCTCTCTCTCTCTCTTTCAAGCAAATAATTTACTCCGTGATCCAATGTGATATATTTATTCTGTGTGCATGGTAGTTTTTTTTTTTTTTTTTAATTCAAATTTACTTGTACAGGATGTGTTGTACACAATATGCAACAACTGTGGTCCTGTGCAGCGGATCGTCATCTTCAGAAAGAATGGTGTCCAGGCCATGGTTGAATATCCTTGTTTGTCTTTTATGTTATTTTTTTCATGGATATTTTTGTAATTTGTGTAAACCTTCAAGGTCCTATTGTTTCATGATTTCTGACTGACCGCTGTAAGAACGTGCCATGACAAAAAGGAAGCTGGGGGTGACCTAAGCCATTTGCACAGTGTCTTATATTACTAACCAGTCACTTCTTGTTGGTGCCAAAGCAATTTTGCCTTTGTAGTAAACATCGGCTCAAGTTATCTGCAGTGACTCCAAATTTCTCAACCGTCACCTTAACTGACAGTTGCTACATTTGACTCGGTCCAAAGTGCCCAGAGGGCCAAAGCCTCGCTCAATGGAGCTGACATCTATTCTGGTTGCTGTACACTGAAGATTGAATATGCTAAGGTACGTGTAAGACAGGTCGAGCCGTCATTTGTACAAGTACAAATATTTAGTGTTGAGCTGTCTTTTGTCATCAAATTCCCAGCCGGCACGGCTCAATGTCTTCAAGAATGACCAGGACACGTGGGACTACACAAATCCAAACCTAAGTGGCCAAGGTAGGTTTGTTACCATTCCTTCTCCTTTCGACTTGCTCTTTACCTTTATTGCCACAAATATTTGAT